TCGATGCTTCATCAATTTGATTGCAGCAGCATAAACCAAGAAGTGAATTAGCGCTGGATGTTGATAAGACATTTGATTGCACAGATTTAAAATATTTCTTGGTCTGCAGCCAGCCATTTGATTTTCTTCCTTTATATATGAAATGGATCAACCGCCCTAAATCATGCTTTATAATTAATGGCATGTTATCCGATACTCTGGATTTACAAAGCAGGAATTATGGAGGTTTGTCCTCTCCTTTATTACCCTTTAATTAACCACATGCAAAAATGGTAAGATCAGACACACAAATTGAAGGAATTAAAATTGGTAGAGAGAAATATAAATTGCAGTTATATGCCCTGGATGCTAATGCTGACAGATTCTTTTCGTTGCTGAAGTACTCGAACCATTGAGATAATTTCCCCCATATACAGAAGCCGGTATAAGTTGCAGCTTCAGCTGAATTTGGGGGAACCACTTCAAGCATCTGGTGTGTTGAGCTATTTCGATTGCTTTTGTTTGATTTGCTCATTGCAAACAGTTGAAAGTCTGTAAATGTTGATAATAAGCCTGATTTGCAATGGGGGATGAATAATTTTGATTGCAACTGTAAATAAAACAACAACCAACACCCCCCCCCAATAACTAACTAAACAAGATGATGCCAACTGAATCTTTCCTAATAGAAATGGATGGAAATTTCATGGATGGAAAGACATTATCCTGATGCAACACGAGCTTCTTCATTTTCCTTTTGTGGATTTTAATCTCAGCTGATGGCAGAGCTGGCTTCTGCAGTCAAAGTGAGAAGGAGCCTCCTCTCGCTCTCCTGGTGGTTGCTAGGGAATGGCATCTTAACCTGAAGAAAGCTTTTAAAGGGGTGGCATTCTAGTTATTTATTTATTTTTGCACATACATAGAGGTTCTTACGACAGCAGGGCTGCAAGGTTATTGAAAGAAAAACACGACGACTTTAACTTTCACCTTTAATACCAGGAAATACATAGTTGAGTTTGTAGGAAGCACAGCTTGCCTTGCATGGAGCAAACCCAGTAATATAAACAGTGGGATTTTAAAAATTCTGCACAAGTGTAGCTGAAATGAAAACGACATTGGCCATAATATAGAGATGAGTCAATGGGAACACCTATGGAAAGTTAACTGAAAATTTATAGCATGTGTTACGTTAAAGGAGAACCTCCAAAAGATGCTATACCGATGGTATTTAACTGCCAGTAAACTCTCCAATATGTATAAAAGTGTTCCTAATATATGCTGGAGATGTGGAGAACCAGATGGAATTCTTTTTCCTATGTGGTAGGTATGTAAGAAGATTAAAACCTTTTGGAATGATATCTATCTATCTATCTATCTATCTATCTATCTATCTATCATCTATCTATCTATCTATCTATCTATCTATCTATCTATCTATCTCCCGTTGGTCGGTCCCAGCTCCTGCCAACCTAGCAGTTCAAAAGCACATCAAAGTGCAAGTAGATAAATAGGTACCGCTCTGGCGGGAAGGTAAACAGCATTTCCATGCACTGCTCTGGTTTGCCAGAAGTGGCTTAGTCATGCTGGTCACATGACCCGGAAGCTGTATGCCGGCTCCCTCGGCCAATAAAGCGAGATGAGCGCCGCAACCCCAGAGTCGGCCATGACTGGACCTAACGGTCAGGGGTCCCTTTACCTTTACAGCTCCAGATATTGTTAGGAAGATAAGAAAAGTTTTTTTTGTATGCTACCACTCCTGCAAGGGTGCTCATAGCACAGCATTGGAAGAGCAACAAAGTTCCCACAAGATCAGAATGGTTATTAAAACTGGTAGAATACGCAGAATTAGACAGTCTCTCGGAAAGGATTAAAGATAAGTCAAAGCAGGAGTTCATTTCAAACTGGGAAGCTTTAAGGAATTACCTAAAGAACAATTGTTGCAACTTGAATACGGTAGTAGCCTTTGAGTAATCTCTGTGAATAATCTAAAATTAAAAGAGGAAAATAGGAAATATATAAGTATGGAATGTTAATATTTATTTAGCAATTATATCAGTTGTATCTCTAGGGTTACAGATCACTTCACAGGTTACAGACTCCACTAACCCAGAAAAAGTATCCTCGGGTTAGATACTTTGCTTCAGGATAAGAACAGAATCACGCCGGTGGCAGCCGCAGCGGTAGCGGGAGGGCCCAATTAGCTAAAGTGGGTGCTTCAGGTTAAGAACAATTTCAGGTTAAGAACGACCTCCAGACACGAATTAAGTTCTTAACCCGAGGGTACCACTTTTATAGTTAAGTGGAAGCAATAGGTTTTTAGAGTGAAAAACAAATTGGGAAAGGACAGGAAATCCAAGTAATATGTATCAAATGTATAGTAGGGAAAGACCTATATTCTTTTGTTCGATTGTGTTTGAAAAAAATTATTTATGTATAAATAAAGGCGAACATATTTTATAATGTATGGATGCAAGTATGGAAAAATAAAGCATTTAATAATAATAATTAAAAAGAAATGAAAAGACCACAACAATGACGATACTTAACATTTATCTAGTGTTCAAACCGCTTTAGACACACATTCATTTGACATCCTTACAACAACTTTGTAAGGTAGGACAGTCTTATTATCCCCATGTAGGTTTGGAGTGAGCATAGCTTGCTTGAGCGCACCAGCTGAGTTTGTGTCAACAGGTGAGATTCAAACCAGAGAGATCCTGTTTCATAGGTCAGCGCTTGCAGTTCACAGGATACGTTCCCACTGGATTGCGCCCCCTTGTAATATATATATTTATGAAAGAAGCTACCAGTCAGTTTTGAACTTGGTAAGATCACGAAAAAGTGGTGTGTATCTAGTAAAAAGTATAACTAGAAAACGAATTTCTGGACAAAAAAACAAAGGGTTTTGTGGCACCTTAAAGTGCCATGAAACTCTTTGCAGCTTTTGCGGCAGCCGACAAACAGATCTGGAGATTTCTGGGCAGGGCTCCTTGATCTGATTCAATTGTCAGCTCATGCTCAGATCAGCAAACACACTTCAGCCACAGAGAGTTGGCTGGGAGCGCTCCTAACCTTGCACATGGCTCTGTGGTTTCCTGGTGCGGTCAATTTCAATATCCACTGCTCTCTTCCTAGAGATGCTGCGCAGGCCACTGCTGGAACACAGTGGGTGATGGAGAAAAAGCCGAGCTCGGATGCTGGCAAGATGGAGGCCAAGAAATTGCTCACCTGCCAAACCTGGATGGAGTACCATTCCTCTTGAAGGAGTAAGTTTGCAGTTTAGGGCTGCTTCTTAATCCAAGCTCTGTCACTGGAGGCTCAGTGCCTTTTGCAAACTGCCTGGTTCGACAGCTACAGCCATTCCTGGACCAAGAGAGCCTGACCACAGCAGTTCATGCCTGGTTACCTCAGGACTGGATTACTGCAAAGCGCTCTGTGTGGGGCTTCCCTCACACTTGGTCCAGAAGCTGCAGTTGGGGCAGAATGCTGCAGCACGATTGCTGACAGGAGTGAGGCCTTCAGTGGCGTAGCGTGGGGGGTGCCAGGGGTGCCGACCGCACCGGGCGCAACATCTGGGGGGGGCGCGAGTCCAGAGGGAAGGGACAAGTTCCTTCCTCCGCCGGGCTCCCCGCCGCCACCGCCAGCCTTGCGCCCTAGCGCGCGCGCCCCCCGCCGTCGCTGTGGCTGCGCTCCGCTCACTGCTCGCAGGAGGAGCAGCCGCTGCAGCAGCGCCGACGCCGCCACCGACGCCTGGCCGGGCACGGGCAGCCTCTGCACCCTGCCGCCGCCGCCATCCCCTTGGCCGAGCCACAGGCGGCGGCTGCTTCTGCCTCCATCCTCCTCCGGGCAAGCAGCGTTGTTTGCGCGGCAGCGCCAGCGGCAACTCGCAGGTTAGGGGTTGGGGGGGCGCAAATTACTTGCCTTGCCCCGGGTTAGGGGGCGCAAATTACTTGCGTTGCCCCGGGTGCTGACAACTCACGCTACGCCGCTGGAGGCCTTGTCAGCATAGAACGCCTGTGCTCAGAGGTCTGAGCTTCTTGCCAGTTGGTTACCGAGCCAAGTTCAAGGTGTTACTATTGGCATAAAAAGGTAAAGGGACCCCTGACCATTAGGTCCACTTGTGGCCGACTCTGGGGTTGCGGCGCTCATCTCGCTTTATTGGCCGAGGGAGCCAGTGTCATGTGGCCAGCATGACTAAGCCGCTTCTGGCGAACCAGAGCCGCGCACAGAAATGCCGTTTACTGTCCCGCCGGAGTGGTACCTATTTATCTACTTGCACTTCATGCTTTTGAACTGCTAGGTTGGCAGGAGCAGGGACCGAGCAACAGGAGCTCACCCTGTCGTGGGGATTTGAACCGCTGACCTACTGATCAGCAAGTCCTAGGCTCTGTGGCTTAACCCACAGCGCAACCTGCACCCCTTATTTGCTGACTATTGGCATATAAAGCCCTTAATAAACTGGGAATAGTTTACTTACAAGACTGCCCACTTGTGCCCACTCGACTGCTGCGATTGGCAGAACTGGCCTTACTACAGTTGCCACACAATACCTATTACATATTTGTAAGAACCCGGCTGCTTAGTGTGGCAGAACTTGCACGTTGGAACTCCCCGCCTCTTGAGAGCAAGCAGGCGCCTTCACTGCACTCTTCGGTGCCTGCTAAAAACATTATGTTTAGACAAGCCTACCCAGATATTTAAAAGTTGCAGGAATTTTAATCTCTTTTAGCATTTTAACCTTTGCATGTTTGAAAGTACGGTTGTGCATTTTCTTTGATTTTATTGTTTCACCTTTTTGCAAACTGCTTTGTGGTTTCTAACCATCAAGCAGTAGAATTTTTTTACAAAATAAATAAAGTCATATATAAAGCATATATTCAGCAATATCACTGACAGTCCACATGGAAGAGCCACCCTCAAACCAAAAGAGCATAAGTACCGTATTTTTTGCTCTATAAGACTCACTTTTTCCCTCCTAAAAAGTAAGCTATCCCTTTCACTGCAGCGATCCCTCTTGCTGTTCTGGCTTCTGAGATTTAGAATATTTTTTCTTGTTTTCCTCCTCTAAAAACTAGGTGCATCTTATAGAGCGAAAAATACGGCAATTTAGAAAACCCCATAACAGGAAGAATCAGCTTCATCAGGTATCTTCTGGTGCACTTGCTTGGTTGCCCATTTGCTGATACTGATGCCACCAACATCTGGAAGCATCTTCAGCAGAGGTCTGCTCCAAGCTGCTGACCAAGGCAAATAGTCTTGAATTCTGACAAAATCTGGGGAAACAACATCACCACCTAACTATGAGAAACTGGTTAGGGATATTGTTTATTTCCCACTACTGCATTTGCAGCTTAAAATATAATAACAAAAAGCTACCTGCATTCTCATAATGCAGCCCGGAGCCTTACTATACTGGTAAACTTAGACAGGTTTAATGTTGGTTATTACACAGTAATATTTGAAGTGTATATAGAGAAAGATAATAAATGCTATGATGGTTCCAGGGATGATCTTGGACAATATTCCCGGGTGTTCTCTAGAAAGAAAGAAGGGGGGAAAAACAACCAGTTAGGAAATACATTGCTTTTTCTTTAGCTCATCTACAAAATATTTCTTTAGGACTTTTACAGACAGTGTTGCTTTTTAGTATGAGGAATGCATAGTTGTTCATACCCATTTGGTCAGGGATGTAGACTAAATTCCCTCCAGGAAGCTCGTCTAATATTTTGCTTCTGGCAAACCACATTGTTGGATTAATACTATTATAAATTAATATGTATGGGGTGTTAGGGGAGGGGTAATACCTCCGGTGGGGGACAAATATGCTCCTTTGGAGGGTACGGTAATTTGTCCAGTTTTGGTCTCCACCCTGAACTCAGCTCTCACCTGTGGCTCCTAGAGGATAGCAACATGCGACAGCGGCCACACCATAGCAAAACGGCTTCGACTGGCTGGCTAAACCAGGGGAGGGTCACCAGTGGATCTCAAACCCTCAGTGAATTAAGGACTTCTCTTGCATGTGAAGACAGACTCTTGAGTGGATGAGACCAATAGTGGGTCCAGCAGTCAAGATGGTGGTTTCTGCAAATGCTGTAGAGCACTGGTTCTCAACCTGTGGGTCCCCAGATGTTGTTGGACTACAACTCCCATCATCCCTGAGCTCTGGCCTTGCTAGCTAGGGGTGTTGGGAATTGTAGTCCAACAACATCTGGGGACCCACAGGTTGAGAAAGGCTGCTGTAGAGGGAAGTGAGGGGCAGGTGGGGCTTGTCAACCTGGGAAGGTAGCCTGTCTCAGAGAAGGAAAACTCTGATCCTAACCTCTGCTGCCTTGCAGGACATCTTTGGGAGAAGAAAAGGCTGAGGAGTAAACCCTACACAAATCAGGAGTGGAGTCCATAAGACGGTTGGATGGCGCCTGTATACCTCCTTCCAGAAACTTCTGCAGCCAAGCTGGTGCCAAATGTATTGCTCTGGTTTCCTTTGGACCAGCGAGGCCAAGAGGGGAGTTTTGTCATTTGGGCAGCCTGGGACCTCCAGACACACTGCTCAGGCTTGTGCCCTGGGAGGTCACTTCAGTGCTGCTAAGGCAATGGTTTGGCTTCACCCCCAGAGGCTCACTCCGTTGTCTCTCGAGACAGATGGATGCCAACAAATGAATATTACAGTAAATGACAACTACTTGGTGTGTGGGTGTGGATCATGGTGGTGCCAGAAGAAAAAGTCTCTCTCCTGATCCCATTACCGACATTGTCAGTTGGAAAACATTGCCATTTCTGTTGTCCTCTCCCCTTACTCTTCCTTGTTCTCCACAAAAATGTCTAGAAGGTGACTTGCTTAATTCTGCGGCAGTTCATTGGCACCGTGTACATTGGGGACGTGGTTAATTCTCTGCCTGCTGCAGAACATAGTTGCTTGGTAGGAATTAAATTAACAATGTCTTGGCTGTAAACCAGTTGGCAGGTTAAGGTAAGGCTACAATCCTTTACACACACATGCGTAGTTTGTCTACTCAAACGTAGACAGTGCAGTGCAAAATTTTGGCTGTAACTACAGCTGTTTACTCTGCTGTTTTAAAGTGCAACTACGCACATGCGTAGTTTGTCTACTCAAAAGTAAGTCCGACTGAGTTCAATGAGACTTACTCCTGCATGTGCGTGTATATCACTTCCCAAACCAACAGCTGATGTATTGGATGCAGAGTAAAATTCTGGCTGTAACTACAGCTGTTTACTCTGCATCCATTACATCAACTGTTGGTTTGGGAAGTGATATACACACAGAGTTATCTGCAATCCATGCATATCCTGTCCTTTCTTAGGTATTACTTCATTTTTGATGCCTCTTCCAGCCTCAATCCAAACTGAACAAAAGAACCACCTAGTTGCTTTTTAAGCCAGCAACGTATACATATAGCCTATGTTTTCTGGACAGGAAGAATTAGATTCTGGGCAAGCAAGCTTGCATTGGTAGGGGAAGAAGAAAACCGAGGCAGTTTGCCATAGGGAAATAAATGAGGAATGGAAAACTGCAAGGGGACTCACTTGTTATATGACTGATCTTAGGCATACAGGATTAAAAGAGAATGGTTTAAGAGGAAGCTTAAGGCTTTTGCAGATTCACAAATGCTCCAAAAAGCATGCAAGTGTATGTTAAGGCTCCCACCTTAACTTGCATGGCATGAAAGCAGTTAAGTCTTTGTATCATCTTACATATTGTGCTCACTTTCAACCTCAAGCACCCATGCTTTCGGCTTTCTATGCAACACTCAAGCTGAGGCGAGCATGAGGGTGTGTATCGGAGGTGGCCCAAGACATTTTGCCGCTTGAGGCAAAACAGAAAATGGGTGTGTGTGTGTCCCCCTTCTATCACTGCTGCCTCTTTTTCCACCTCCTGAGGCAACTGGAGGCAGTGAGGGAGAAAAAAGGAGGTTGGAGAGGAACAGGCACTGCCAGAGTCAGCCATGCTCTTTCCAGGCAGCAGGGAGCAGAGGTTCTCCTTAGGCGCCTGCAAATATGTTTAGAGAAACGTTATGGACTGGCTGGATGCAGAGAAATGGTGGGAAACCCGGAAGGGAAGAAGGCTCAGAAGCAGGGATTGGTGGTGTGGTGAAGGTGAGTGGTCAGAGGGAGGAGGAGGAGCAGATTGGGAAGAGAAGGTGTCAGAAGCTGAGGAGGTAACAGTGTTTGGTGAGCAGGAAGAGGCTGTGGCAGAGAGCAGTGCAGAAGCAGAGGCTGGTGAGGAGGGGAGGCAAGAGGCAGAGTTGAGGCAGGTTGGTGAAGAAGCCGGGGAGTCTCTCCCTCCTACGGCAAACAGCTCCCCTCTCTGCATTTCTCCCAGAACCCACAGAGGTATGAAGAGGGCAGAGCAGAAACAGAGAAGGCATTGGAGTCTCAGATTGCGTGAGAAGGCCTCAGGGGAGGAAGAGACTTAGGGAGCTGGGGGAAGTGGGGACCTTCAGTCCTCAGTATTGCCTCATTGGGGCAAGATCTACTGGGAAGAGTTGCTGTGATCTGAGCTGTTTGGTTTCTTTGAATAGAGTTCACTGACACCTTGTGAGTTCTTGCTGATCTGCTCCTGGCATCTACCCTGACAAGAAATGAGTCTTGGTGAGCAGGCAGCAGAGGGACCTTCCCCCTCATGGGGTGACTGCAATGGTGGCGGCTCCTATCCATAGATAGAGGAGTGGCAAAGGCACATGAGGACTCACCTCTCTGTATCTGCCACCCCTTGCAGACGTCCCCAGCCTGCCACCTGAGGTGACTATCTCAGTTGGTCTAATGGGTGGGCCAGCCCTGGCTTATATGGTTCTCAATTTAAGGGGAAAGTCTTAGCGTACAGTTGCGATGCTTTTTGGAGCACGAGTGAATCAATAAGGGCTCCCTTTTCGAGGGGGGAATGACTCAGCTGGAAATCTACCTTCTTTAAGTTAACAAACAGAAAGATGCAGTGACAAATTTGCATCAGTGGACTTGACCCCTGATCGGTTATAACTTGCATTTTGTGTGTTTGTTTGAAAAATAAAGAAATCATTACGACTTTGACTCATATGTTACATCGATAAGCGTCATTACACAACAGATGAAACATGTACAGTGGTACCTCAGGTTAAGTACTTAATTCGTTCCAGAGGTCCGTTCTTAACCTGAAACTGTTCTTAACCTGAAGCAACACTTTAGCTAATGGGGCCTCCTGCTGCTGCCGTGCCACCGGAGCCCGATTTCTGTTCTCATTCCTGAAACAAAGTTCTTAACCCGAGGTGATATTTCTGGGTTAGCGGAGTCTGTAACCTGAAGCGTATGTAACCCGAAGTACCACTGTACAAATGGTTTTTCAAAAGCTTATTCTTTCTTTATGCTTCCCTCACCCCCTTATTTTTATTCAATGCCCCCCCAATTGCACCTGAGGCTACTACTGCCCTCCGGATTATTCCAGCGCCCCCCAGGAGTGGGAAACACTGATATAACTCCATCTCCATACCCCCTTAAGCACAAATAATCATAATGAATACACAATAAAAAGGACATCTAGGATGGGCCCCAAGTGTTCCCTTTCCTCATTTCTTCCCTGTTTTCAAAAAGAAGCTTCACCGGTTTTTAAAAAAATGCACACAGAAAGTTAGCATCATTTCTAGAAACACAAACCCCGCTGAACAGAATCTTACTGAGGTGCTCCAAGATCATACAGTAAGGCTGTGTGGCGAGGTTCTCCTCCCTCATCTTAATCTTTCTTTAATCTTTTAATTCATGCCTTGATTATATTTTACTTTCAACCAGTATGGGCTCCTTTTGACATTGTACACTTTGTGGTGAAACATTAGGAAGCTCCTACACAACTTGACCTGAAATCAATGCTCGCTACAATACGGCTATCTCAGAAAGACTTAACTTACCTATACCAGCAGATGATGTTGCATAGCAGGGTCATTAAAAACTACAAGTAAATGAGAAAGGGTAGGAAAAGAGGAGGGTGTTAATACTGTACCCCAAAAGGCTGTGGAGTGTCGTTTAGCAGCTATTGCAATAAATTACCTGATTTCAGCAAGGAGATTAATTTAACAATGGCTGATTCTTTGATATCACCATGCAACCTCTTCCCAAAACACACAGCCTTGGGGTTTTTCTTTTTCTCTCTTTTAATAAAATGGCATTTCTTTTACAGAAACGCAGATAGGCTTCCTGTATCCACATGCACAAACCGTGCAGATGTAGCACTGATGCATGGATGGTTATGAGTTCCAAAAGCAGCCTTAGGGTCTCACAGGTCTAAGGTAAAGGTAAAGGTACCCCTGCCTGTACGGGCCAGTCTTGACAGAGTCTGGGGTTGTGCGCCCATCTCCCTCAAGAGGCCGGGGGCCAGCGCTGTCCAGAGACACTTCCGGGTCACGTGGCCAGCGTGACATCGCTGCTCTGGCGAGCCAGAGCCGCACACAGAAACGCCGTTTACCTTCCCGCCGGTAAGCGGTCCCTATTTATCTACTTGCACCCGGGGTGCTTTCGAACTGCTAGGTTGGCAGGCGCTGGGACCAAGCAGCGGGAGCGCACCCCACCGCGGGGATTCGAACCGCCGACCATGCGATCGGCAAGTCCTAGGCGCTGAGGTTTTACCCACAGCGCCACCCGCGTCCCCTCACAGGTCTACTTGCAAGTAAAATTCCAAACTCATTCGGCATTGTATAGATGAAGCTTCTACAAACCCCAAGCAGATTCTGGGTCCCTTACTTAGATCCCTCCTGCTTCCACCCTAAGTGCCAAATGCGATACAAAAGTAAACACACCACTCTTAGTTGTGTTGTGTCTCTTTCTCTTTTTTACTCTAAGTAGCCACTGGGGAGTTGTTGTGACCAGGTTCAGGACTAATGACTGCGTACAGGGAGGGACTGACCCTGTCCTCCCCTGCTACAGTCCCCAAGGAAATGCTTCCCTGCTGCTATACGCTGTAGAAAGGAGGCCCCCATTTTCAGCAGCTCTGCCCCTCCTCAAGAGCTGCAAGCTCCAATCCTCATTGGGCCACCACAGCCACCGCTATTTAGACTAAAAAATAAGGAGGACACATTTAGTCCAAGAGAGGAACAAAGAAAGCCGCTGTACATCAAGTCAGACCATTGGTCAAGCTAAATCAGTCTCCACTGATTGGCAAAAGCTCTCCAGGATTTCAAATGAGGTCTTTCTCAGTCCTACTTGCAAGTGCCAGAAACTTAACTTGAGGCCTTTTGCATACAAAAGATGTTCACTGAAGTTCGGCCCTTTCCCCTTCCTAATCTCCCCAATTTCTTCCATTATAGCTGAAACTCTGATTTCATCCTCTGTAACTTCTCATTTTGCTTGTTGCAATCCCTCCTTTTGGGCTTTAATCTCTCAGGCGTTCATCCTGTCAACTTTTCATAAAATACTTTGTTTAATTGTGTGTGTTTTTAGGATCCCCCCCTAATGTGTCCAGTGGTTCTTATTTTAATCTGTGAGCTACATTGAGTCCCATCAGAGGAAAAGGTGTATACATAAATCTATAGAATCATAGAATTGTAGAGTTGGAGCAGATCTCGGTATCTGGGAAGGTGCACATGGGAGAAAGGAGTTCCCAGTGCCAGATTTAGGGCAATGGGGGCGGTTCCCCCACAGAGGGCGCCAAGCCAAGGAGGTGCAAAATCAAGAAGATCCATAATTAAGAAGATCCAAATTTTAGCCTCACACAGGGTACCATGCACTGAAAGATTACTCATGTTTGCCCCTGGAATCCCTGAGGTTAAGTTGGCCCCAAGCTGTTCAGGGCTCCCAAATTACAGGAGTCGTTGGCTCCTTTGATGCATGTTTTAGAAGTGAAACATGGGGGGCACAACTGTAGCTTAGTGGTAAACCACGTTTCGCATGTTAACAGTCCCAGAATCAATCTCTAGCAGGGGTCAGCAAACTTTTTCAGCAGGGGGCCGGTCCACTGTCCCTCAGATCTTGTGGGGGGCCGGACTATTTTTTTTTGGGGGGGGGGGAAATGAATGAATCCCTATGCCCCACAAATAACCCAGAGTTGCAGTTTAAATAAAAGCACACATTCTACTCATGTAAAAACACACTGATTCCCGTACCGTCGACAGGCCGGATTTAGAAGGCGATTGGGCCAGATCCGGCCCCTGGGCCTTAGTTTGCCTACCCATGATCTACGGCCTCCTAACACCAATCTGAATCCCTTGAGAGCTGCAGTCCAGGGCTTCACTCAGCAAGGGGGCCTCCAGACTCAGGTAGCTTCCCTGCCTCCTCCTCCTCCTCTGATGCACCACTGGCCAGCTGTTGGATGCCCACCAGTAGCAGCCAGTCTGGGAAGTCCAGACTGGGAAACTGGTCTCAAATTTCAGCAGTGCCACCCCTTTGCCTTCCATTCTACATAATAGTTGTGGAATTCACTAATCTCTGTGTTTGCTTTGACTCTTTTCATATACCTGTTTTCCTCGCGAAATAATTCCTTCAGGCACTTCTGGGTATTCATCCTCAAAGCTTGTTTCTTCCTCCTCAAAGCTTGTTTCTTCTTCCTCAAAGCTTGTTTCTCCGTCCCAGATTTTCTCACTCTCCAAGTTTTTTCCTCCCTCCCAGATTTTCTCTCTCTCCAAGTTCCTTCCTCCCTTCCCACTCGTTCTGTCCTCGTCGAAGGTCGATCTGCTTCCTTCACTTTCCTCAACTATTTGACCTAGCACTGATTTGGTTGGCAGAAGAGGCATCGAATACATTTTCATTCTGGATACATTGCGTTTTATTTTCGGTACAGAAATCTTGGTGTTTGGAGTATATCTGGTTATGCCAGTCCAATCCCTGTTGCTTGCTCTAGATGCTGCAATACTTTCCTGTTTGAGGTTTGACATTGATGATCTTATGAATCCCTGCAGGTTCCCTTTGAATGCTTCGGGTCCTACCTCCTGGTAACTGTCTGTGACTTCTCTGAGCCATTTCTCCACATCCACTCTAGCTTCTTCAGCACACACCTCATTGAGGTGTGTTTTGGATTCTTCAAGCCATTGCTTAATATTTTGCCGGGATGCTTCCGGGTCTTCTTTGAGGTACGCTAGGGATTCTGCAAGCCATTCTTGAGTATTCAGGTTGGAGGCTTCCTCTTTGAGACTCTGTATCGCCGATTCAGCCCACCCTTCCACATTTACTATGCTTTCTTCAGAAGTTCCCTCTTTAAAATTCTGTGCAGATTCTGCAAGCCATTCGTACACATTCACCTTAGATGCTTCAGGACCTTGCTCCTGAACATTCATCATGGCTGCCTCAAGCCATCCTTTCACATCATGTCTTGATGCTTCAGGACATGTTTCACCCAGGTTTCCTATGGCCGTTTCAAACCATTCCTGTAGGTCCTGTCTGGACATATCAGGTCCTTCCTCTTCCATGGTTTTCAGGTTTTGTTCAAGCCACTTTTGAACCCCTAGTCTGGAGGCTCCCCTTTGGACATTTTCTATCGATTCATCAAGCCACTGCTGCACACTTTTGGCAGTTGCTGGAGGAACGTCCTCTTTGAGGTTCAGAATGGATGCTTTTAGGAATTCGTTCAGGTCCTGCTTGGATGCTTCAGGACCTCCCTCTTGGAGCCCTTTTCTGGTTTCCTCAAGCCACTCTGTCACATCCTTTCTGGACGCTTCAGGCAACTCATCTTCAACGTTTCTTAAGGATTCTTCAATCCAGTCCTGCACATTCTCTATGGATGTTTCGGAACTTTCTTGTATGCGGCTTATTAAGTTTGACTGAAGCCACTTCCCCACATTCAGCATGGACTTCTGTTGGTTTTCTGTGAATGGTTTCTGCACCCTCTTACTTGATGCCTTACCTTTCTCCCGGATGCTTTCCGTCTCTGCTTCAGGACTTTTCTTCTGGATACCCTTCATGGGTGCTTCAGGAATTTCTTGGATGTTTTTCATGGATGCTTCAAGCCATTCTTGTATATCTAGATGGGACGCTTCAGGCCCTAGATCTTGCAAGTTTCTTATGGATGCTTTAAACCACTCCTTCATATCCTCTCTTGATTCTTCAGGATATAGCTCGTCAATTCTTTTCATGGATGATTCAAGCCATTCCTGCAAACCCTCATTGGAACCTTCAGGACCCCTTTCCATGAAGTCCTTAATGGATTCTTGAAGCCATTTTTGCATATTTTCTCTAGATGCTGCATTGCCTTCCTGTACGACGCTTCTCATGGATTCTTTGACCTTTTGCTTCATTTTCTCTTTTGCTTCTTCGTTTTTCAGACCTTTCGATGCTTGAGGCCATTCCGGAACAATGAGCTGGGTTGTTTCAGGACCTTCCTGCCTAGATGCTTCTGGAGGTTTCTCCATGGCTGCTTGAAGCCATTCTGGCACTGCAAGCGCCTCCTGCTGAGCATTCAGTTTCGTTGCTTTGCGACTTTGCCCTTGGATTTCCTGCATGGCTTTACTGGATGCTTCAGCCCACTCCGGCATGCATAGGCGGTCTGTTTCAGGCCCTGCCTCTTGGAGGTTACAGGTGGTGGCTTTTATCCTTTCGCTCACATCCTTTCTAAATGCTTCAGGACATTGCTCTTCAATGTCCTCCATAGTTTGCTTGGGTGCCTCAGGACTCTTCTCTCTGGGGTTTTCCATAGCTTCCTGAAGCGTTCCTAATACATTATCTGTACAAGTTTCAGAAGCTTCCTTTGTGGATTCTTCAAGCCGTTTCTTCTTTAGTTTACCCCTGAGCAACTTAGGCTTCGCTTCAGACTCTTGAAGGCCCTGGAGGCTCTTAATGGATTCTTCATGCCATTCTTGAACATCTAGGTGGGATGTTTCGGGACCTTCCTCTTGGAGGTTACTTATGGATATGTCAAGCCATTCTTTCACATCCTGTCTGTCTTCTCCAGGACATTGCTCTTCAACGTTTTTACGGGATTCTTTAAGCCATTCTTCAATAGATGGTTTGGGTGCTTCCTTTGGAAGGCATTCCATGGATGCCTGAAGCCACCTTACCACTTTCTTCTTGGATGTCTTGGGATCTGCTTTCCCTTGGAGTCTCTCTATGGATTCTTCAAGCCATTTCTTGTTTAGGTTATATCTGGACGATGGAGGAACTTCAGGAGCCGGGCTTTCGCTTTTCTGTGTCATCTTTTCAGGCTCTTTCTTTTCTGTGTCATCTTCAGGTCTTTTAGCATGTGTGCTTGTTTGCCATATATAAACACAGCTTCTTTTTCCTGCTCCACTCATCTGTGCTTCTAAATGTTCCATGCCTACTTCATACAAACATGGTTCATAATGGTCTTTACTCAGCTCCTCTGCCTGTCTATAAAAATAAGAAATTTATTAGAGACGGCTTGAACAAAATAATCTAAATTAACATTAACTTCCTTAAGGCACTAAATCAGTGGCTTCTCAATCCAAAAGCAAATTTAATTAAATGAAATGGGTCACACATTATATTTGAAAATTTACTGCTAGGAGCAATATCTTATCAGAGGAGCTAAAAAAATTCTCTCCAGTTTCGGAATGTTTTTACAGAATTTCAGAAAATGCAACTATGACAAAACCCACCTATGTTGTTCCAAAGCATACCTCAACCCAAATATTTTCATTGGCTGCAAACACTTACAATGTAGCCTGTAGCTCAGAGTCCTTGAGTTCCTTCTGCAGGCAATTTATTTTCATCTGAAGACTCTTAAAAATCAAAACACACATATGTTTACAGGTGAATAACAAAATACACTTATCTCTCAATCACACTCACTTTGTCTCTGTCTCTCTCACACACATTTTGGGATTCTGCAGATCTTGTTATTATGAAAAGAAACATCTTTCAGAAGGGGTAAACTTGTGGTCTAACAATGCAGGGAGCACTTTCACAAGGCCATTTCTCTGTGGTGCAAACAGTGAGAGGAGTCCCCTCAGCAACTTCAAAAATGTTAATGGGGATGGCTGGCTCTTTTCTTCATTGTGTACCCCAGATTCCTAACAGCCCACAACCCTCATGCAAAATAATCACTGATCCTCTGAATGTGTGCGTTTGTTGGGGTTGACAGCGCGCACACACACACACAACTCCTGCCCAACAGACCACTATGGAAATAATCGGGACTTTGGATCCTGTCTGGATAGGACCCTTAGATCCTGAGCTGTGTTAATGGCAGCATCACTGTGCCCCAGGGTCTGAAGGCCACGGTCTCCGCTGTGATGGTTAGACCAAAAATATGCTCTCCCCAGTGGTGTGTGTACTTGGGGGACTGGGCTAATCCCCCAAATGCTACCCTGGTGCCTCCTTCCCAAAGCCTGGGAAGCTTCTGCCCAGCTTAGGGAGAGAGGGGTGATGGTCACGTGTGCAACATCAGCACGTCAAGACATCACACGTGTGACGTCACCCCCACCCCTCAATCGCTCTCACAAGCTGGTGCCTCTGGCCCTGGCTGTTCCCCTACGAAAAGTTAACTGCACACCATGAGGTGTTCCCACCGCCCGCTTCATATGAGGTGGGAGGTGGAAGAAGGATAGAGTTCTCAAGAAGAGCTCTGGTTTGGGCCATGAAACTGCTGCAAGGGTGAAGACCTGGGCACTGGTGTCCATAAATAGTGTATTTGGGAAGTTGAGCAGCACAGGAGCCCAAAGGCATACCCTCCAACATTTCTCCCGATGAAAATAGGAACATCCCATTCCTTAATGATAATTTTACTATTTATATCACACACAACTTACTGGGTTGCCCAGTTTCCAACATATATAAAAACATAATTAATGCTTTAAAAAACTTCCCTATACAGGATTCCCTTCAGATGGCTCGGGGGTCGGATAACTCCATACCCTCCAACATTTCTCCAATGAAAATAGGGACATCCTAAGGAAAGTGGGGGACGCGGGTGGCGCTGTGGGTTAAACCACAGAGCCTAGGGCTTTCCGATCAGAAGGTCGGCAGTTCGAATCCCCATGACAGGATGAGCTCCCGTTGCTTGGTCCCTGCTCCTGCCAACCTAGCAGTTCGAAAGCACACCAGTGCAAGTAGATAAATAGGTACCGCTCCGGCAGGAAGGTAAACGGCATTTCTGTGTGCTGCTCTGGTTTGCCAGAAGCGGCTTAGTCATGCTTGCCACATGACCCAGAAGCTGTACGCCAGCTCCCTTGGCCAATAAAGCGAGATGAGCACCGCAACCTCAGAGTCGGTCATGACTGGACCTAATGGTCAGGGGTCCCTTTACCTTTAACTTTAAGGGAAAGTGGGACATTTGAGGATCAAATCAGAAACCAGGATACCTTCTCTAAATCAGGGACGTCCCTGGAAAATAGGGACACTTGGAGCAAAGGGCTTTTTCCATATCCATGTTTAACTGTTTCCAATCTTTTAGGCTACTTAAGAGGTACCAGGGGAAGGAGATTCTCCAAACTGGATTAGGATCTGGGTTAAAACGCTCTGCCAGCGTGTGTGTGTGTGTTTATGGGTACACAGGTCAAAATGGTTTCTCGCATTTGCAGAGCATGATTCTGGGAGTAAAGAATGAGCCTTGCTTTTATTTTAAAAAACCATTAAAAACCACACATCTCATAAAAAGTCCATCTGATCTCCTCTCCACCAGGCATATATATTTAGGCCTGGACATTTTAAATAAGTAGTATTTCCATTTTAAACTGTCATGGCTGAACTCCCTTTTGATTTGCTAATGAGGTTATGTCACAGCCAATCTCAACGCTATTTAATCAGAAATAGTCATACTGACTTCAAGGGGGAAAGAACTGTATTACTGAATACAAATATCCTTGATGTACCTCAATATGCTTTCCTTGTTCAATCAAAGCTGCTCTTGTTTCAACCATAAGTACTTGTTCCTGTAGTGCAAATGAAATGCAACATTTTAAAGAAAGAGTGAAACCCATAATTTCCATTGCACAAATATAATGGTTTCATATTTTGTTATCAAAATACTTCTTAGATAATTAATGTGTGATTATTTTTGATCAGTATGTACATATGTGTGACACACACACACACACACACACACACACACACACATTACACTGCCTTTTTGCCCCTTTTATACAAAGGCGGCTTGTACTTGTACTATCTATCTATCTATCTATCTATCTGTCAATAAATATAAAGCAAGAAAACAACAAGACCTGAATGAAAACAATAGCAAAAAAACAACAACAAAAAAACCTTTACCCTGCCGCCCTACGCATGTTTAACATGGAGTAACCCTGCTGAACATAGTTCAATTGCAAAAACTCACAGCCTGTCCAAATCCTGGTAGAATAGAATGGTCTTTAATTGAAACACCAACAAAGCAGGTCCCTGGGAGTTGGGGTTTTGCAATGGAGAAAGTTGTGTCCTTGGCAGCCACCCATCTGAGGGTGAGGGTACCCATAGCACAGTTTCTGCAGGCCAGGGAAGAGGAATCTGTGGCCCTCTCCAGGTTCTGTTGGACTCCTAGACAGCCTTGGCAACGGTCAGGGATGCTGGGAGCTGTGGGAGAACAACATCTAGAAGCCCATGTGGAATGAATCAGCCTCCTGTAACCAACATGCTTAAGTCTAATTAATGCATGAAGGGGGTTAAGACCATAGAGTAAGCTGTCCTGCTAGGCTTAGCTAGGTCACTCCTCGTCACCTTGGGAGGAAGGGTTACCAAACTCTTTGTCCTCTCACTTCCACCATGTGAACCCTACCAGCAAGAAGGTCTAAGCTGAACACTCCAAGCTTAGACTGCATGGCTTAAGGGAACCATCTTTGTGTTTCTATACAAATAATTCACAAACCTTTACCATATTGAAACCTAAGTTATACCACCTGCCTTTTCTTGCCGCTGTATGGAAAAGCACATGATTCAGACCTTGGAAGAGTTTGTAAGTAAACCATTTTTAATTAGCCAAATGTGTGGTCTAAGGGAAGTGGGGAATTTTAGAAGCAGCTTAGAAGGGGGATATTTTAAAGGTCCAACTGGCTATATTTCCACACTTTGCTTTGCTGCATATCTCATTATTTAAAATCGCTGCCGGGGTTCTCTCACCAAAGAGTACTTGCCCCAGACCTGGATCCAGATGTCCAGAGAATTATTCTTCTATTTTTCTTTTAACCAAACCAAAACCCAACAGTCCAAAGATTCTCCATTCCTGGACAGACTGTGGAGAAGCAGGCAGTCCCAGATCCTCCAGCTAAAAACCAGCACACAGAACTGCCTTCAAAAATAAACTAGGGGTCGAGGAGTCAATGAAACTTTTTAAGCACCAGCAAAATGTGGTCAGTCCTATAGGATCCTGCTGTTGAGCTGGTTGCCATATCCTTGAACCACTCACACATTGAAGAGATCCACTATAAAAACATCTGTGTCAGGTTATGTGTGCTCTACTGGGTTCCCTGTTCACTTCAATGACAAGAGAGTAGGAGCTGAATGCACATAAGTCTCCAGATCAGAGTGACTATGTTTATATTCCGGTTTTATCTAAACAGATTTCAAAATGCTGTTACAGGATCATATTGTGGTGAGATACTGCGAGCATAGCAGGGATTTTAACACTTTTGAATCTATTTAGAGAAAAATAAATTCATTTTGCCATCAGCTTAACTGCAAATTAAACCTGATTTCTTATTCTCCGGGGGAGCGGGGTGAATATTCCATTATAGCTACTGCATATATATTTTCCAGTACCTTGAAAAGATCTCCCTTTTTTTCTTCCATCTTCTTTTCCCAACATTGCAGTGTCTTCTTCCAAAAGAACATTTATCATTGGCGGAGGAGAGAGAGAGAGAACAGATTTTATAAGTCTTACGTCCTTTTGGGGAAGCTATATTCCATACTTAACGATTGCAGCATCCACAAAAAGTGCCTTCACAAGCAGAGCTTTCCTGTTAGCCACAAATGCAACACTTTTCAATGGAGTCAACTAAAAGTCATCATGTCTTGAATAATCGAGTGATTATGTACAAACAACGTACAAGATCTCCCAACACCTGTTATTTGTGTGTTTTCCCCACTGATCTGCCCAGAGGCCAAATTTCACAACTAATCTAAAATACTAATCTTCAACACAATATAACTAAGCAACACAAGCGACATTTAAAATGGATGTGTGACACCCCACCCTACTCACTGAAGGTACTGTGGAATGGGAAAATTCTACTTGCTTCCTACAGGTGGTTAAAGAGCTAAATGCATTTATAGACATCCAGAGGGGGTAAAAACCTCATCTCTGCTTAAAACAGGGAAGTACTGGTGGCGTCTTTTACTATGGCAGGAGCTTTTGTGCTTTAGATCATAGTCCAGATGAAGTGGACCCACAAAAGCTGATGTCATAATAAATTTGTTTGTCTTTAAGGGGCCACAGCAATTCACAGAAAAACCAAATTGCCATTTGCTCCGATAGAGTGCTAAAGAATGGTTTTCCAGCAGATGTCAAAGCGATAAAAAACTACCTGACATTCAGAAGACATCTTAAGGCAGCCCTGTTCAGGGAAGTTTTTAACGTGTGATATTTTAGTGTATTTTTGGTTTCTATGGAAGCCGCCCAGAGTGGCTGGGGAGGCCCAGCCAGATGGGCGAGGTATAAATAATAAATTATTATTATTTTCCCCAGAGGGAAACAGAGGGACGAGACGAAGTGTGGAGAAGCCCACTGTCAACTATCCCTCTGGAAGTTATTCCTGGGATGCATTATTGCAATATTTGGGCAAACGAGGGACTTTTCTGCAGCTCAAGCTGCCTAGTGACTGGTGGTTGGGAGAAGGGTTGGTTGGCCTTTTCCATTGTGCAAGGCTTGGCTTGCTTACTTGGATGCTTCTGGCACAGAGCTGATGGGGTAGGTCCAGCCTGTACACAATTCTGGTTAGTGCACCTTGGGACGGGTAGGGGGAAAGGCAGAAAGACCAATAGTAGGGAGAGCCAATGACTGGCAGAGCCAACCCATGACTGCTTGTAAGTAAGAAGGCAGGCAGGTGGCAGTGCCCCATGCGCTCTAATGGACCAGCTTCCACTGATTGCACATGCCCAGAAGCGGTCCTGAAATCTCCAGCCCTCCTGGCCTGGATGAGGCCTTCTCCTCCTTCCCCACAGCTGACAACATGAAGCCTGACCCCTTTGTAAACTGATCTGATTTTCAAAACAGATTGGTTTCAGACATGCAGTGGATGCCCTCAAAATTAACAGTGTTTTCAGACCATCAGTTCTAAAGCTTCCATCCATCTCTAGGTTGAACCATGAGGTCAGCAAACAGCCTGGCAGGCGCATGAACTTGGAGGGTGGACTATAAGTGAGATGGTTTATAAATACTGAATGCTGACAAATGCGGCAAGAGGAGAAGCAGAGCGGCAATGCCTTGCGGTGAGCGAGAAAGGACCGTTGCATTAGCACATTTTTGTAATGGAAATGATCAAAGTGGTTCGGCGGGAGGGAGGACGGATTGAAGTAACATCTAATTATTCATGATGGCACCAGTGACCACAAAATCACTGTTTACTGCCACCCAGGATAGGATATTAATAGGGGGGATGTTTGTTTCTGCATGTCAAGAAAACGGATAACACTCTTCCATTTTGTTAAGAGTAAATGCTGCTGCAAAATTATAGGCCCCCTTTCCCCAAGACAGGGAAACACAAGCCAAGCCGACTGATATAACACACTGCTGCCATCACAAGCTAATATATACTGCTAGTCAGCCAGAGAACTAGGAATACAAATCTGGTGTAGCACTCTCTTCATTCCCTTGCACTGAGGATGCTTCACAGCAAGGGTGTTATATTGAATCCTGTCTTCTGGAGGCTGTGTATAGTCCTCCTACCTTAACAGCACATTTGAAGCACATTTTCCCCCTCAGAGAATTCTGGGAAGTATTGTGTGTGTGTGTGTGTGTGTGTGTGTGTGTGTGAGAGAGAGAGAGAGAGAGAGAGAGAGAGTGTTGCTGGGGAATTGTAACTCTGTGAGGGTTAAACGACAGTGCCCAGAATTCTTTGAGAGAAATAATGTGTTTTGAACGTGCTTTAAAGGGGCAGTGTGAGCACGGCTAGTTTAAATCTGCTCAGTATATTTTGATAATGATCATATTGTTGCAGGCGTGCTCTTTGCATAGCTGTCAACTTTCAGATTTGAAAATAAGGGATCAGCAGCCCCACCTGTCCCAGGGACAGTCTACGGGATATCTAACAATCCGGGATAGCAGCAGGAAGCAGTGGGAAACTGCGCTGGAATAAGGGAATTTCCCGCAAAAAAGGGGAAGGCTATGGCTCTTTGGTTGTGCAATATCTTTTGTTTGGGCTTTTGCGTAACTTGACAGCCGAAGGTTGTAGCTTAATAACATTTGAGCCTAGCCCCCACCTGGGCCTCTGGACAGAAGCAACGCCTCATGGATCCTTTTAACATGATACACTTATCCAGGGCTTTTTTCCCAGCCAGAACTCATCAGAACTCAGTCCCAGTGCCTATCAAGGGGGCACCATTGCCATTATAAGAGAACATGTTCCAGCACCTCTTTTTGTGAGGTTCCAGCACCTCTTTTTCTAGATAAATGGCAATGCCCTTAACCAAAGAGGGGCAGGCAGTCGCTACAACCTTCCCTCCAGCCAAGACTAAGGCTTACTCAATGCCTAACCTCACAAATTTGTGGTGATTGCTATGAAATGGATAAAAACCAAAGTATGAAAGCAAAACATATGAAAAAGGGAGGGAGGATGGGAGATCCAACAAGGAGGCTGGAGAGGAGGGCTGGGCAGGTCGCAATTATTCTGCCCCCCCCCCCCCGGAGGGAAGCCAAGCTACACCTATTGGCTGGTTGGGCCTGCCCCCTGGGGAATTCCCCCACCTAAGCATTTGGCCAATGCACAGGCAGGCTGCAATCTTCCCCGGCCGGCTGCCAGATCACAGGCGTGGCCATGGCCAGGTTACAGCACTGCCTGACCATTAAAGGTCAGCAGACCTACGTCACACCCTACCCTCAGTGAGACCTGAGATTTGTGTTTGGGCTGAAGAGGTAAAAGAAGCCTGACTGTAAAAGTAGCTTTTGGGGGTTGAAGTGAGACATGCAGGTGTTTGGACGAGCCTGGCGCTGCTCTACAGACTAGTATATCGCCAACCTGCCCACTTGCCGCCATCCTCAAATTGTCTATCTGCACATAAATGGATATTGCAAAAATGCCATAAGATTCCAGCGCGCTCTCTCTCTCTCCTCATGAGGAAATTGCCCTATAATTTCCCGCCGCTTTGGGAAGTGGAGACTCTGTAACAATATTTCCTTTTGGTCCCTTAGGTGATTTTATTTCATTGACTACGTTGGAAATGTAAAATTGCATCCCAAACTGTGTAATGGAGCGTTGACTCGCTGAGGTGCTAAATGACAGTGGCACCTCTATGAATATGGAATTGCTTTGCTCAGAGTTTGAAGCGTATAGGCTCACAATGCACCATTAAAGAAAATTAGATATGGGTGCTACTGGGTTCTTTCAACAATATGACTAGGCATAAAAGTCAGTACTGTCAACAAAGGACTCTTGAGATTGCCAGACAAATAATATCTGTATCCTAGCTTGGATCACATTTTGTTGCTCTTTATAGATTTGATTTTTGGAAAGAAAATGTTGGTCTGAACAGCAAACTTGGCGCAGAATCCTGCCAGCAGTTACAGCCTAATGGAGTTCAAAGGGAATTATACATGGGTTTAGCATTGCAGCCTTTGTTTTTCTCTCCCCCCGCTCAATTAATAAAACATTACTATTCATTTATATAGTATTTGAACAGGGCAGAGGGCTTTACTATGGACTCCTTCACACACAACACTACCAAGCCAAGGTTTAGCAAGAACAAGAAAGTGTGCAAGTGTTGTGCAGGAGAACTTCCCCAAAGCTGGTGCCCTGCATCTGGTGAAAACTGGTATACCTTTGCATTCCTTGTAAGTTCGTGCTCCAAGGGTTGCCAGGCTTCCACATTGCTTAGAAGATGGTGACGCCTGACAGAATTAGAGATGAGAGAAGAATCACAGCTGGCCATTCCATGGTGAGCCATACTCGTCCCTAGGTGTTCTTGATGCCTGGCCAGCTGACAGTCACACAATCTAGACCACTTAAAGCAAAAATAATTATACATCTAAATTTTTAAACAACATACTGAAAATATACTGAAGCAGAATGTGTACACTTCTGTCAAAGAAACGGTTCTTCTTTCTCTGTTCGCTATATGTTCAGGGTCACACCAGGCAAATGCTACCACCTTCCTGGAAGGAAACATGGCTGGCCAACAGGACTGAGACTGGATCAATTAAATGTCCCAAACATCTTCTGCTTTGGGTAGCTTAGCGCCACAGTTTACCATGAAGATGACAGAGTTGGCAGCTATGAATGGCAAATTTTGTGGAGGAGGGAGAGGGAGATGAGGTGGCAAAGGGCAAGAGGGAGACATTTGTCCCCAGTCTGGTTCTGGCTATGCCCAATGTTAACTCTGGCTCCCAGATTACTCTTCCCATTAGTCATCAGCCCATTGTAAAAAAAAAGATTCCCCACCCTTCTTTAAAGGAGCTCAGAGTGACTCAGATGACACCAGCTCCCTCATGATCGTTAGGCTGCTACTTAGCTTCACAGATGGAACTGCATCAAGCACCTTCAGATAATTCTCGGACCCCATATCTGCAACATTCATTCCCCACTATTCCAGTATGGCAGGAAGCAGAAGAATGGACTGGACATATTTTGTGCCTGGTAGCAACCTTGCTCCAACCTCCTGGATTGCAGGGCTGTTCTAGCAAATATACAACAATGTGGAGAAGATTTGGCCCACAGACATGTGCATGGCTGACTCTGCTGCTTTACACCTGTGCAGAAATACCTCGATGTAGATATTATTCGTTTTAAATTGTTTGCTAAGTGTTGTGCAGGTGGTTGAGAAAATATTACTGTTCTGGTGGCTTTATAAAATGTACACTGGTACAACGTCCCCTCCCACACATGGTGTATAGCACACCCTCCAAATGCCCCGATTTTCCATGGACAGTCCCGGAATTATGAAAGCCATCCCAGTTTCTCATATGATCCCAGAATGTCCCTATTTCCCCCTCTAGTGCCACCACTGAGCTTGGAAAGGTAGATGAGCTGGCGCTTGTCCTGAATGGTGGTGGCAGCTGTGAGGGAGCTTCTCCTCGCCTCTCCATGGCCGCTGCTGCCAGCCTCCTCCTTTGGGCAGCTTGTAGCAGCTGCTGGAGGGCAGGTGAGGAGGAAGAGAAGGTGCCATTGCCAAGACCCAGCCTCATGTAACAAGCTGGCTCTGAGGGGCAGGCAGAGGGCAGGGCTGCCCTGGGTGGAAAGGGGAGCGCAATGGAATACAGCGAGTCTTGATTTGGGGGAAATAAAAGCTTTGTGCATCCAAGTCTAATCTTGCCCCTTTCCAAAATTTATCTATTGGTGTGTGTTTTTATTTTGTAAAAATAGAATAGAATAGGATAGGATAGGATAGGATGGATAGGATAGGATAGGGATTAAGGAGTTTCTCAGGACAGCGGAGGGTGTCTATGCTTTGTTCCATTAGTGGTGGAAATGCTCTGTCAGTGAGGGTCAAAAATGGGGGAGGGGTCAAGGAGGGTCAGTTGCAGGGAGTGAGAAACATCCCTCTTCTCATCTGAGGAATGTTGGAGGGTATGCTATAGCCCCACACATTTTGGGTGCTGAACACCTGTAGGGGATCTCCTTGAGTAAGCTCTCATCTAAATTGCGCGAGGCGCTGACTCAAGTAGAGCATCGTTCCCACAGCTGCCATTCAGCCGCCAACATGGCGGGGCAGCCGGAACATTACAGGGCAGGACACGTCACTTTCCCCCTCAGGTGAGGGGAATCATGTAGGGGGGCGGGAATGACTGAACAGGGGGCAACGGCATTCTGCCTGGCCTTCAAACAATCAGATTTCTCCCTCCAACCTCTTCCTGCTGATGCTTTATAGCCTTTGGCTTCTTGATCTTGATTCCGTCTTCCACCTCTATCTCCTCCCAGGTTCTTTTTATGTAACGCTGTGGATACTGCAGGCTGCAAGACATAATAACAGGCTGGAACACGGCAGGCTGGGGAAAATGAGCGCTGAAAGGGTTTTTTAAAGGTGCCCCGGGGTTTAAAACGAATTTGGGGAGACTTCTTCTCACTCTTTCTGCGATCATTTGCAACTGTCATTGTACTCATCAGAAATATTGGTAATTAGATATCTCTGTGAACTGCAAAAGCATTTAGAGAATATCGTGGTGGTGCACAACAACTAAATAAAAGCGGATAGAACAAATCAAATACGGTTCTCATGGCAATGTCAGCAATTGCCCTTCCAAATATTTGTAATACAAATATTCTTAATAATAATTTACTTTAAATATGGATTTGTATAGTGAGATCACTGGTGTTTTTTCTTTATCACTTAAAGTTTCTGAGAGGTGGAATTTGCACTGGGCATGTGACCCTGCCAAAAGGGGGTTCAATCCTCTGCCTTTGCTATTTCAATTCCCACCAGAATTACTACATGCATTGCCATCTTCAGAGCTAATAGTAGCTTCAGGGGTTATTTTATTTCAAGACAGCACAGCACAGGCGGTAAGGGTCAGTCCCTTCCCATAATACCATGGCACCAAGCTAAATTACCTTCACTAAGCAATAACTTTTAATCAAGGGAAAAGATACTGGCAGATCCAATAACAGATTTCCTATGTCACACATGTTGTTTGGCCATGAGCTCCCGTTGTCTAGATATTTGTCATTTTACTAGCTATTTGCAGCCCAAGGATCCCGTCACAGAAGAACTTCCTATGCTCTAAATGGAGAAAATACTAAATATGGGTCGCTTCTGCTTCCTCCATTAATTGTATGGCCGGAGTCTTGAAGGTGGGGGGTTTTCAGAGAGCAGCACCTGGCCTGACTCAGAGGCTTCAAGGTGAAGGTGGAAAGGGAGGAGAGGAGGCGCCAGCTTTCGCCAATCCCAAAGAAGGCAACAGGGTTGGACCTAGAAGGCTTCATAATGCATCTCCTATAAAGGTAAAGGTAAAGGAACCCCTGACCATTAAGTCCAGTCGTGACCGACTCTGGGGTTGCGGTGCTCATCTCGCTTTATTGGCCGAGGGAGCCGGCGTACAGCTTCCGGGTCATGTGGCCAGCACAACTAAGCCGCTTCTGGCGAACCAGAGCAGCGCACGGAAACACCGTTTACCTTCCCGCCAGAGCAGTACCTATTAATCTACTTGCACTTTGATGTGCTTTTGAACTGCTAGGTTGGCAGGAGCAGGGACCGAGCAACGGGAGCTCACCCCGTCATGGGGATTCGAACCACCGACCTTCTGATCGGCAAGTCCTAGGCTCTGTGGTTTAACCCACAGCGCCACCCACGTCCCGCATCTCCTATAGAGGGAGCCAAACAGATGAAAAAATAGCACCGGCAATATCTCTTACCTCCTCATCTCTTGCCTAAAATGCTTGTTTTCTTTCAAGAGCTGCTGGTTCTCCCCCACGAGCTTGATAATCATGTTGCTGAGGAATCTCTTCTCGCTTTTGAGCCTTTCTGTGGCCAGAAGCAGATCCGCAAACATCATCTTTCTATATAACATCAGGACCAGAACAAGATCAACCCCAACAGATGTGATTTTTTTTTTAAAAGCTTCAAAATACATCACAATGTGTTATTATAATTTACAATCAAAATTTACACAGCACAAATGGTATAGGTTTCCTGTGTATACCTAATCCATTTTTATTCATCCAATTTGATAGGCTACTATCATTTCTTTTTGGACAGACGGGGGGGGTGTGTTTCTTAAGCCAAGACTCAATGTTCAGCATCTCTTGATGGAATCTGAACTTTAATAGTGTTAAGGAGTAACGTAGTGACATGGGTGTAGCCAGGATTTTTGTTGGAGTGGGCAGAACCTCAGTTTTCTATGAATTTTTATTTTATTTTATTGACTGAGGGGAGCAGCTGCTCCCCCCCCCTGGCTACGTCCATCAACACTAATGCGATGTATGGGATCACTGATCTACATTAAACTGCTCATGTTTAGACCACTATACTGTTAAGTGGTTTGTTTGTTGTTTGTTTTTTAAAAAAAGATTTTGACAAAGTAATAATAATAAAGAAACAATAATAAAAATGTGCACCCCACCCCCGAGACCATTCCATGGTAACTATCCAACCTCCCAAAATTTCCACACCTCTTGCGATGGTTTGACCCTTTTCTGTTTTAACAGTACAAATTCTACAAACACCTTCCATAGCTCCTCAAAATAATTTCTCCCGCATATTCCCTGTCTTACCTTAATAGCCCGTGTTAATTTATCATTAATAGCTGTTATTAAACATGGTTAAGTGTTTGACAAAGCGACATTTGACAAATAAATGCTTTGGAATCCCCAACTTATTAATACCAGGCAGGACAGGAGTCCTCAGTTTACTGTTTTAGATACCTGCTAACAGGGCCGGCCCACCCGTGAGGCAAGATGGGGCGTCGCCTCGGGCGGCAGGATCCACAGGGGCAGCAGATCTGGTCTCCAAGGAATGCCTCGCCTGCTGCTTCTTGGAGGCTTGAGCTGCCTTCTCCTCAGCAGACCCCTTCCATGCTGCCGGCCTCTTGGCCCTGGCAGGGAGGTGCCATTTTGTGCTTTGCCTCAGATACCGAAATGTCTTGGGGCCACCCTGCCTGCTAAACACTTGTTTCAGCAAGCTGCAAACCACACACCAACAGCATATCCATCTTAACAACATGACTGTTGTTGTTAACAAGGAAAGTGAAAATATTAATCAGGGACACCTCAGTCGGTAGAGCATGAGTGTCTTAATCTCAGGGTTGTGGGTTCAAGTTCCATGTTGGTCAAAATCATAGAATCATAGAATCATAGAGTTGGAAGAGACCACAAGGGCCATCGAGTCCAACCCCCTGCCAAGCAGGAAACACCATCAGAGCACTCCTGACATATGGTTGTCAAGCCTCTGCTTAAAGACCTCCAAAGAAGGAGACTCCACCACACTCCTTGGCAGCAAATTCCACTGTCGAACAGCTCTTACTGTCAGGAAGTTCTTCCTAATGTTTAGGTGGAATCTTCTTTCTTGTAGTTTGGATCCATTGCTCCATGTCTGCTTCTCTGGAGCAGCAGAAAACAACCTTTCTCCCTCCTCTATATGACATCCTTTTATATATTTGAACATGGCTATCATATCACCCCTTAACCTCCTCTTCTCCAGGCATTGTACAGGGTTGGACTAGATGACCCTCACGGTCCCTTCCAACTATACCATTCTATGAAATGATGTATAAATAAGAGAATATGGGTGTTTCAAAGGATAGGATGATTTGCATTCAAAATTGCCTTTACTTTTTGGCAAAAGCTGAATACTATAAAGAGCTGCTTTATCTCATCTAGGCATATTCTAAAAGGTACACTAACCCAGAATAATTTCCAGAAGCAAAATATACTCTGGGATGTGGAAGAAGAACAAGGCTCTCACTTAGCTCCCAGCTCCCAGGTGTAGAGTCAAACTGTTATCAGCCCCAACAAGCTGCCCTCTAACCAGCCCTGGCAGTTGCCTTGTTTGTGAGGTGGCGTGAGATCACAACTGTGTAAATAATATTAGCAAACATCAAGTGAGATTTCATCCCTCCCCCCAGCATTTCAACACTGAGCATTTAAACCACTAGGACCTGTTATTTCCACGACTTCGGTGGAATAGCATAAGGTTCCTAACTTTCCTTTCAGATGGGACCACAAACCTTCTCCTTGCCCTTGACCTGGCAGAAGTCGACAGCCTTCCCCAAACCTCATGGACCTTTTATTTTGAAAGATTTGTCTCTGATACATTTGGGGAGGCTCTTTTATCTCCTTGGGGAGGTTATTTTGTTAAACTAAAGAGCCCCGGATGTTTGTGCAGTGCCACAATGTACTCATCTTTGTGAATTAAGATACCTAGAACCATTTATTTTTAAAAATCTGATACTAGTTACCTACTAGCTACCTTTGGGACACGAGTGGCACTGTGGTCTAAACCACTGAGCCTAGGGCTTGCCGATCGGAAGGTCAGCGGTTTGAATCCCCGCGACGGGGTAAGATCCCGTTGCTCTGTCCCAGCTCCTGCCAACCTAGCAGTTCAAAAACACATCAAAGTAGATAAATAGGTACCACTCCGGTGGGAAGGTAAACAGCATTTCCATGTGCTGCTCTGGTTTCGCCAGAAGCGGCTTAGTCATGCTGGCCACATGACACAGAAAAACTGTCTGTGGACAAACGTCAGCTCCCTTGGCCAGTAAAGCGAGATGAGCGCTGCAACCCCAGAGTCGTTTGCGACTGGACTTTACTGTCAGGGGTCCCTTTACCTTTACTAGCTACCTTTATGGTGGTTTGTGTGTGCAGGAGGGACTTTGGTTATGTACATAATAACCCGCACAAAAATGCAGTTTCTCTCGACCTGGAATCATTTGTGCTCATCCTCAAGACGCTGCTTTCAATCTAGATTGATTCTAGATCCTGCCACCCACAAGGGCAGGGGTGGCTAATTGATACACATTTGAAAAGCCTCCTTGATTAGATTATCCACATTTTTTCTTCCCTGCACATTCCCCAGGCGAATGAAGAAGGAAGTGGTGGTTGCAATTTTGATATACGCTTACCCACAATGCCCTTGGCCAAGGGTGGATATGCCCTCCCCCCATTGCCGGGACCACCTACAACTGTTTTAATCTGTTTTCAAATGGGTAATGCAGAATCAATATTCTATGAGCATTTATTTTTGGAGAGAAACTGCCCCCCCCTCAAGAAGTGCTTTTCAGGGCAACAAAATTTGCAAAAGATTAGATTGTGCGTGGGCTATGTGGGGGGGGGGGAACCAGTACTCTGTCTCCACTGATTATTGAATAAAATGCTGGCTGTATGCAGCCTTTGTTTACTACTTTACTTATTTGCAATTCATGTGAACCGAAGGCAGGAGGCTCTCTAGCATTGTGGGTTGGGTTGAGGTTGTCTGTTACAGTATTTTGCTTTCTTACAGATGCTCATGGACTTAAGGTCACTGATACCTTCATTCTTTCTCCTTTAACTCAGGTACCCTACAATGAAAGGGGCTGCAATGGCAACTTACAGAATGGCACACAGTCGAGAACTTTGTGGCTTTAACTGTTCTTCTTCTCCATTCTCTCTTAGCCCTGGGGTGGAGGAGTGTTCGTGATATAATCTGCCTCTAGAATATTGTTCGCAAGGCCCACTACCCCTGATGTTTTGAGTACATTTTAACTAAAAACTCTTCCATTCCATTGTGTAGTTCAGGGTCATTATTTGAATTCTTTTAAACGTTCTTTTCTGTGTGCTAGGCTCAGAAACCATGACAACCGCTTACCAGGCTCCGAGCAGTATTAAAAATACCCCTTTTCTGTCAGGCATTGATTATCTCTTTTATCACAACTGAAAAATTTGAGGACATTGGTTATTTGCTCAGGGCTAAATCCTGCTAGGCCCATAATTTCATACTGAACAGCTGGCCTTCATATTATGACCTGAGGGGAGGTGGAAAGAGAGAAAGCAAATGGGAATAGTGTGGAATAGTCTGCATTTTCACCTTCCTTCTGATTAACTGACCTCAGCCCACATCCACCCACCTAGGCCAGGCACTTGTGGGACAAGACTAACCTGAAAAGTAAAACAAAAACAAAAGCGACCCGCAAAAGACCCGTAGTCTTGAGCCTGGCAACATTAGGTGTCTGCACTAATAATTGCCATTTTCTGCAACAGCCTGGTGCTAACCTGCAAAGCAGAGAAATGAGGCCACCCACAGATGGGAGAAAAGCTTCTGTTTATGCAAGGAACCCTCGGGGATGTAGAAAATATTAACAATAAGCATCTGAGATGTCCCACCCATGAGGCAAGTTGAGGCGGCTGCCTCAGGCGGCAACATCCACATGAACGGCAGATCCTGATACAGATTTTTATGCCCCTGTCTTTGTCCCTGATCTAGATCTCCACTCACCCTGTTTTCCCTGGTGGGGAGGCGAACACCATTTTGTGGTTCGCCTCAGGCGCCAAAATCCCTCAGGGCATCCCTTTTAAGCATTCGTATTTATTTTTAGTTAATATGAATACACACCGATTAATTTGTAGACTGAAGGCTATAGGCATTGCCTGCACACTGCCATGGCCTCCGGTGGCGTGAAGGCAGGGGGCATGCGCTAGACCCCTCCGTGGGCTCAGTGGCTCTTAAGCCGAAGGGAATAACCATAACCCGTTGGCCTAGCGCCCAATAGCATCCTTGTGTTCATTGACCCCGACGCATGCTGGTAAAGGAAGGCTTGAGGGGACTAGCTGAGAACATAAGCACACTGTGGGAGCAGAGGGCAGAGGAAAAGGTCTCAGGAAGGCCGGCAAGAAAAAATATTGGCTTGGATGGTGTGTTTGCACTGAGTCCCTACCGCTTCTCCTTCCTGCTAAGCAGCAGTGACTCAGAAGTTGACCAGCAACCAGCTGCAAAGGTGCACATGCCGTGTCCTCATTCAAACCTGGCCTCCTGACTGTCAGTAGCTTTTTAGGAGCCTACGATTGCCATTTCAACCTGTCTGGTTGTGAAAAG